CTGGGAGGACACTTGGCAGTTCATCTCCTTGCCAGGATATGCCTGTCCCTGGGAGGCCCTGCAGGCTCTCGGAGACCAGGGCTATCAGCATTTGATGGAGGAAGCCTTCTGTTAAGTCCAAGTAAACCATTCTTTTTACTGGCCCCTTAGTGAAAAGGAGTGATTGAGCTGGGCTGCTGACACACTGCCACATTTGTTTCTCAAGAACAAAAAGCTATTTGGTCTGGGGAAAGCCTGACCGTTCATTGGAAACAACACTGCTGATGACAGTGGTTGGCAGATGTAGTGATGTCTTGGGTGTAAAAGCACACAACAAAGAAAATACTCTACTGTTCATAAAGACACCACACACGCCAGAACGTTGACCCCTCTCTGAGTTCAGGATGAGCAGCTTTGCTTCTCTCACCCTGCTCCTAGCAGAAACACTTCAAGCATGTCCCTGGGACCTCAGGGCCTGGATGTTCCTCTTCAACCACTTGCCAAACCCTCTGCTTCAGCCAGGGAAAGGAGGAGAGCCGACTGCCTCTCCTGAGGCTGCTGACAGCTCTTAATTGCTACTGCGCTCACTGGGGCAGTGCTAGCTTCTAAAGCTGGAGGTTTCAAGTGTTTTGCACCCAAAGCTGAGGCCAGCACGGCAAATGCAGGGTCGGGAGAGGCTCTCACCGCAACAGTGGCTTGCATGTGATTGCCGCTTCCTTTGAAATCCTGGCCACCATTATAGACGCTGAGCTTTCCTGCAGATCTGGCCCTTAAATCCTGTTCCCACTGCAAACAGTGGTGACATTCTGATTGATTTAATGGGGGCAGGCACAGAGACTTAATTAGAAAATTGGTAACTGCAAGGAAAGGAGAGAATGCACAACAGCCTGCCAGCTCTCTGGTAGGAGGCAAGCAAAGGGAACAGTTGTCCTTAAGACAGAGATCTTAGTCTCTACTCTCTCTTAAATAAAGGATAATAAAAGAGATTGCCAAGATGGCCTTGAAGCTGCTCTTAAACATCTTGTATAATATGTAATTGCTTTTCAGCTCAAGTACTCTACCTTTTTAGATCTGTCTCCTGGGAAGAAAATACAAAACATGCTGAAACACACAGCCCTGAACAGCAATCAGTATTTTCAACTTCTGTGTTGGGAGGCAATTAAAACTTTGCTTAAAACTCCTTACTCTTTGACTGGTACAAAGATGGGTCCAGTCTAAGGTGTGTTTTTCATGTTAGTCCAGCTGGGGGCCAGAGAGGGATTTTTCATCAGCTCTTGTATCTTAAGAAAATACTGAGATTCTCAATTCCTTACTGTATGAAAAATCATAATACCTGAAAGCTCTCAGTCACAACACTCCAGACTTTTGATTTGCCTTGAGCATTATCTGCATTGATGGACAGCCTGCATAACAGACTTTGGGGCTATTTCTGCACTGGTAAATGCATCTACTTGAATGCAAGATCACCAATGCAAAGTCAAGCTGTGCAGTCTCATCCATAGTGTTTGGGAACCAACGATTCGTTGAGTAAACTATCCACCCAAGGATCTTTTGGACAGAACCATCTGTTTAATACTTCAAGAGTGCCTAGGCGTCAACATTTGTTTACCTACTATAGGCGATAAGAGGATTGCAATCTGGGAATATGCTATGAGTTATTTGATAGCATAGATACACCTGGAATGTTATAGTCCTCAAGGGGAACAGTTAACTTCAGTATGTTTTATCAAGGGTGAACACTTGGTTGTGTTTAGCCAGGGCGAAGCTATTTTGTTCTGTGCTCAGATGAGGGAAATGCCAGGAGCTCAACAGAACTGTGGCTCTCTTGATCCAGCTCCTTCCATAGGGAAGCCAGGCTACACATACATGTCAGTTGCTGGCTGTGGTAACTATCTGAGATTTTGGCTGCCAGTCCATGAGAATTCCTTGTTTAAAAGAATCCCTGCCATTCAGAGCAGTGTCCTATCAGAGTTTGATGCTAAGCAAGTAACAATCATGAAAGAAAACAAAAGCTGCAAGTTTCCAAATTTCCAAACCTCCAGAATGGATTCTAATCCAGCTAACAGGGTGCATCAGTGGAGGATTCAGTACAAAAGGCAATGTACAGCCAAAACTCCTGATGTAGGCAGAAATTTTGCCCTTGACAGTACTGTGAGGCAGGCCCACAAAACTACGTCTTACCTTCCTGCTGCACACAAGCCATACTGCCTCATCCCTGTTATGGCTGGGTTAGCAAAGAGCACTCACACAAACTCTACAGTCTCCTGCCTCTGGAACAATACAAAAGCAAAACATCACAGGGGGTGAAAAGAGGTTGCAGAAACATCTAGCTGTCAGTCTAGGGCAGTCTGCAACTGCTTGCTTTTGACGTGGCTCTGTTCAGAGAGAGTGCTGTGATGACTCCTTTCTGGGTCAAGCGCAGGCCCTCATTATGGAAAAAACAAGTGTTTCTAAGCAGAAAACTCTCAGCTGAGTGTGTTCAGGGATTGTTGCACTCTGGCAAGGGCATCATTTCTCAGTGTTTACAAAATCTCATGAAAATGGCGTCTGTTGGAAGGGTATGGCTAACAACATGGTAGTGGTGCTACCCTATTTATGTAATGTTCTCAGAGAAAATTGTGTATTTACCAGAGTGGTGCTGGTTCCTAACCCTACATTCAGATGTTTTCCTAACAATCTTATCTTCTCTAACATTAATAAAAATAATATGGTGTAATTGGCCATTACTGCTTAAACCCCCCAATATTATGAGCTGCTCTAACATATTTTTATGTTTGACTCATGGCCAGCTTCTGCCATGCATACTCATTGGTTAGCACTTCAGGGATGCACTAACACCTTGCTGATTAGTGACCAGATGGTTTAGCCTTCAAGGAATTCTGTGTCTGTGTACACCTCATTTACTTTCAGAGGTCAGCAGACTGCAGGGGTGTGCCCCCAGTTTATGAGAAAAAGACTGAAATGACAAACTTGCTTGTACTAAGCCACAGTCTCCACGATAAAGAAATGCAGAAATGTAATAAAGGGTAAATGTAAACATTACAAGGGAATAAGGCACAACCTGGCTTATTGCATTTATTCACAGGAACTTCTACAGGGTTTTTATTCTGTATGGGGCTTGCACTGAGGGTTACAAAGCCCAAGGTGAGGCATTCTCTAACTAGCATGGAAATGTGAGGGAGCACTGCAGTTTTCTGCCTGGGTACTCATAGCAGCAGGCATACCCACAGAATTATCTGTTTTTTCCCTGCTGTGTATTTTCCCTGAGCCAGGGTTCGAGGAAAGTAACCAGACAGACTTGCACAGGCTGTGAGGGAAAAGGAGAAGCAGAAGGGCTAGCAGGTCAAGGGACTGAAAATGGGAAGAGGGAATATTATCTCAGCCTGTAAGCAGGACTCACACAAGCTGAACATCTGCTCTGTTCACAGTGAGTGCGATTATCTAACATCATTATAGCAGCCTAGGCTGTACAGTTTAGGCTGCTAATTGCATGTTGTAGATGATGATCACAAAACTATTTCCATACAGCTCCTATAGCCCACAGTTATATACTTACAGACATTATAGAATGTACTGTAGTTCAGGCTGCCATTCATTTTCCATTATAGCATATAGCATTCTGCCACTCATACTATTTCCAAGCTGTTCCTTTCTGGGCCAGAAGTCTCCATTTCGAACATCAGACCCAGGATTAATTGTTTAGGAATGCTTCAGTCACAAACTCCAAGAACAAAATCAGTTTAAAGTGACTCAGGCTGCTGGTTTTAAATAAATTCTTTCAACTGTTTTAATAAGAACAAGCATTTTCAGGTTTCATGCAAAGGTGACATTTAGCTGGTCTCTGAATGGAAGAAAATATCACTGTGAAAATGTGTGTCTTTGCCCTATGGAAACTGATTTCTCACAGAACACCCAGTACCAGTGGGCAGTGCTGAGTTCAAAAGGTTTAACTTGATAGTGGGAAGTACCTTTTGTGTGAGCCTAGTACTCACACAACATGCTGAGAAAGTGGAAGACTTTAGTATGAGGCCTTTGCCAGCGTGAAGAGATTTAGAAAAAAGAAGTATCAGGCTAACGTACAGGGTCAAAAAGGACAAATATTCTCAATCCTGCCCTATCTCTGCTACTGAAACCTGGCTCCCAAAGTAGCTTCTCTGCATGTTGCCCTGCATACCACATAAAAGACATGAATTTATCCAGCTTGCATACTGAATTTTTTAAATGCATCGTCCTTTAACGTACTTAAAACATAATTATACCTACAATGACAATTTCTCATGGCTAATATGGGCTGTCCAGTTGTGCAACTCTAAGTGATCCTCTTGGGCTTTGTAGCTCCAACACACATACCAGAGGAATTGAAACAACATTTTAAATTTCACTACCTCTAATGCAATAGCCAGGAATTTAACAGGTTTATTTATTACATGAAATGGTACTTGGTGTGGCCCAACACACCTGGTTATGTTTCTGCAAGAGTATCCCTTTGACAGCTTTCCAGAGCAGAGGGTGCAGGCTCAGGTCCTGTAGCACTGCTCCCATTCCCAAAACATGACACCCCATTTCCTGCCCTGGCTTGGTTGGCAGCAGCATCTGCTCCCAGCAGAAGCCCTCGAAAACTTTCCTTCCGTCCTTCCTTCCTCAGCCATCACCTTCACCAGGTACAGCAGTCTCCAGCATGGTAGCGGCTAATGCACCCAGGGGCTGAATGCCAGGCTGGCTGGAGGCACCCAGGCTCGGTGATTAACAGCAGCCACCTTTCTTTGCTGGTGAATGAAGAAAGAGGGAAATGGAAGGGATAAGAGACACCAACCCACAAACTGCTATGGGGGATGAAGGAGGCACAACTCCCTGCACATTCACACAACACCGTCCCTCACACTGTCTCTTGCTGATAAACCCAGGCGGCAATAGTGACGGTGGGCAGGCAGGACTGGTCCCGTCCGGGCGCCTTACATAAGGGCCGAAGAGGGGCGAGCACCTCTGTGGCGGCACCGACACCACATCCTGGTACCGCCACCATGTCCCGGTACCGCAACGCCCTGTGGTTCGTGACGGGGGTGCGGGAGTGCACGAGGTACAGACGGCGGCTCCCCCGGGCTCAGGTGTTTCTGTGCGTCTGTCCGCGGGCTTTTAACCGCTTCCAGGTGGCTTGGTGTTTTAAGTGCTCTTAATCAAAGCATGCCGAGCCCTACCAGAGTGGAGTGATCTCAACGCTTTACCTGTGGGAACCCACAGCCCTCATGAGCGTCAACCTTTGGGCTGTGGCTTGCGGCAGACAAACACCTTCAGTTGTTACTGCATTGCTCCTTAGTGTCCCTGGCACTATACGCGATCTGTCCCATGGGTATGGAGGGTAATAAGGAGAGGGGAGGTGTTTCACATATGCTGAAGTGTAAGGGGAGGTGCTTTTCAATTCTTCTCTGGGTTTCTTTGGAAGTACTCTTGTTTCTCACAGGTAACTCTGATATATTCAGGACCAGCTATGAGTCTGCTTCCAAGCACTTCCGTCCAGCTGATGTGGAGGCGATCTGGCTGGAAGGTCCTTTCTGGTGCAAAGAGTGGCACTGGTAGGGCCACAGTCAAAGAGACAGCGAGGGGAGGTGAGCCAGGCTGTAATGAGGGGCCTGAGGGGCCATAATGGAGAAGGTGGAAGGAAGTAGGTTTGGTTTTTCAGTGAAAACGCAAAGACACAGTTCCCTGGGATGAGGGGTCAGGTGTGTTATTTTACAGGGCTGTTAGCATGGGTTAGAGGTTTAAGCATAAACAGTGCAATGAAAACTAGAATAATGAAACCAAGTTAGTGGAAAGGATCTACAAAAAGTGTTTCTCAAGTGCGTGTTCACTGAAAATGTGTTATAGTGGCATCTAAGGATGCTGGCGATGGATCAAGCCCACTTAGGACTGGTTTGGTACAAGCAGCAGCTTGGATGAATTTGGACTGTTTTGAAGAATTTACAAATGTATCTTATGATGAAAGAAAACAATTGGCTGTGCTAAGATGAGCTTGGAGAGTTTGAAAGAAACAACATAGTTGTACTCGATCGTGATGATAATCTGCAGTTTGTGCACTTTAACTGATTATATGCAACCATTTTTTGTTGCTTACTGTAACCAAGGAGATGGTATGAACTGGAGCTAGCTACTGTTGAAGGATAAAACTAATCTCTTTCAGAGTTGACAAAATAATTCCTGTTGTGAAAGAGTGATAGGAGTTTTGGCATGTAGAATAAAAAGGAGGAGCTTGTGGTTTTTTGCTCTCTTTGCATGCTTAGGCTTCATAACTATATTATGAAGGAAAGTGGTGACTCAGTTAAATGAAACTAATTCAAAATTATTAGCACCAAAGAGCCTTTGGGCTGAAGATCCCCATCAGTGTCAGGATGTGATTGATTTTCAGGTTCCCAATACTGTTATTACATGTAATAGACTTACGTAATTATTGCTTTGTCTGGTGACTGGATGTGCCTGCCATGTTTTGCAAGCTGTCAGGTTGACTGGATCTGCATAGGTTGTGGTCACCATGTCTCATGGCAGGAGCTCAAAGAACATCTATGGGCACAGATTGGTTGTCTGATACCTTTTGTGGGTGTTGCTGTACATATGAAGCTAAAATGACTTAACAATATGTTCCTGATCCTGTCCTTGAACATGTGGCTCTGAAACTCAGCCTCAGTTTTTGGGTCTCTATCTTCTCATTGAATCTCTTCAAGTACATCATGACAAGAATACAAGGAATTCTGATTCAGCAGCAGAATGACCAAGCTATGCTGGCTTTACCTTCAAGCACTGTAAATCTCTGTAATATGTCATCTCATCTCTGTAAATAATGACGTCTTGATGACAATTTTTTTAGTTCAGCTTTTCTCTGAATTGGTGTCTCATGGTATTGCAGATTTGGGCTCTCTTGTTTGTCTGTGAACTGCACTTCCAGTTTGATGCAGTCTTCTCCCAACCACTCTGACAATTCCCGTGTATTAAGTTCAAATAATTTCAATCTTTACCATGGAAAATAAATTTAAATCAATTTCTTAGCCTGTAGGTCACACCAAAACTGTCTTCTCTCTTCTCTCCTTAGCAGCAAGAAAAGACTCAAAGCTCAAATACTCAAAGCTCTTAAAACCCACCTCTTCTCACAGAATGTTTTCTGCTGTAGGCTATACATAACAGACTATCATAGCAGCCTTCCAGTACCTGAAGGGGGCTTATAAGGATGCTGGGGAGGGTCTCTTCATTAAGGACTGTAGTGATAGGACAAGGGGCAGCGGGTTTAAACTTGAACAGGGGAATTTTAGGTTAGGTATAAGGAGGAAGTTCTTTACTGTGAGGGTGGTGAGGCACTGGAATGGGTTGCCCAAAGAAGTGGTAAATGCTCCATCCCTGACGGTGTTCAAGGTCAGGTTGGACAGAGCCTTGGGTGACATGGTCTAGGGTAGATGTCCCTGCCCATGGCAGGGGGATTGGAACTAGATGATCTTAAGGTCCTTTCCAACCCTAACTATTCTATGATTCTATGAGAATGTTTCTGATCAGCTTGAAGGCCAGATTCCAGGTGTTTGATTTGTACCTGCATGCATAACTTGTGCTGTGCCCTGTTATTTGGGAGGTATTTCTAAAACACCTGTAAACACACATCCTGAACTGCTGTAAGGTCTGTAATTAAAGCCCTCCTTTGCAATGAAGCTTGCAGTCACTGTGAGAACATTCAAAGAAGTGAGCATTGGACACTGCACCTTCTGGTTACCTGTCTTTTCTCTCACTCATGAAATCTGTTTTCCCTTGGATAAAGACTGTCTTTCATTTTGATCTGTATATATTCAGTGCTTGTCTATGCATGGTCCCTTCCATGTATGGTGCATGTGTAACACAAACATTTGTTAGGGTTATCTGTATGGTTATCCCAGATCTGGGAGTTTCCCACCACTGCCTGCAGTTGTGCACTTAAGTAACCCAGCCAACTCTGTCAGTGCAGGGGAGAACTGGAGAGTTTCAGAAGAACCTTGAGGTTTGTTGCTTGTATCAGCAGCATGCCCAGTTGTGGTGGGTTAATCATGGCAAGGTGCTCACAAAAGCCACTCTATCATTGCCCTCTTCCACTGACAGGGGATTAGAAAATACAATGAAAGGGTCATGGGCTGAAATAAGGACAGGGAGAGATCACTCAGCAATTACCGTCATCAGCAAAACAGACTTGACTTGGGGAAATGGGTTTAATTTATTACCAATCAAACCGGAGTAGGATAATGAGAAATAAACCCAAATATTAAAAGCACACCCACCCAGACCCACCCCCATTCCCAGTTTTAACTCTGTTTCTGAACTCTACCTCTTCCCCCAGCGGCACAGGGGGATGGGGAGTGGTGGTTGTGGTCAGTTCATCATACGTTGTCTCTGCTGCTTCTTTCTTCCTCACATCCTTCCACGCTCCAGTCCCTCCCACAGGATACAGTCCTCCACAAACTCCAACATGAGTCCTTCCCACAGGCTACAGTTCTTCATAAACTGCTCCAGGGTGGGTCCCCAGCAGGGCCACAAGTCCTGCAGCAAACCTGCTCCAATGCGGGTTCCTCTCTCCATGGGACCACAGGTCCTGCCAAAGAAAAAGTATTCCCCACCCGAAAATCAAAATATCATCATAACATTGGACAGAAGTGGGCAACATACACAGGCAATCCACCACTCGTTCCTTCACCACAATTACAACAGAAATTCCTCAGATGATCTTAAGCTCCTTTTCAACCCTAACTATTCTATGATTCTATATTTTGCCTGTTATCTCTCCCAATCACTATCCCAACCTGAAAATCCTCAAGCTCCACACTGGGCACCAAAAAGTACTGTGGTGGGTTGACCTTGGCTGGACATCTGGTGCCCACCGAGTAGCTCTATCACTCCCCTCCCCAACACTACAAGGTGGGGAGAAAATAAAAGCACAGCCCTGTTGAGGGCTGCTATGGGGAGAAATAATTCCATCTCAGCAGAAAGCAGAAATCTCACAGCTTTCCTATTATATCCACTCCTGGTGTCCTAAACTGTCCATGTGAAGTCTCTGGACAGACCTCATTGGTCTTTTTGATGTGTCTTCTCTGCCGATGGTACAGCTGGAACAGTGCTTTTTAGGGGGAGTTTGTTCCCGAGAGCGGCCCAAGGCTGGTGGACCCGGGACTGCTATGGGTTGCTATGGCCCTAACCAGCTCCCTGCTTCCAGTTCATCAGCAGGAGACATGGGAGCCCTGAGAAATCCGCAGACCTAAGCTTCAGCAGCATTGATGAAAAGCCACTGCTCACCTCTTGGCAGCAGAGGAATGGGACTGTTAGCTGTGCAGAGCTCAGGAATGTTCTGCTGCTGGGAAGCTCCCATGGCATTGCAGTGATCACCTGACCAGTACTGCTACTGCTGCTAGCAGGCTGTACGCTTCCCGCAATCTGGAATTCAATCATGAAAGGCTTTTTGGTTTATTTGGTTTGTGTCAAAAACTAACCCCAAGCAAGGGCTGCAAATTGCACATCGCTGCCTGGCCCTCCCTCTTTGCTGATGAGAGCAGTTGGTAATGAATGATGAGCTGTGTTTCTGGAATCCACCAGGTGGCACGGTTCAGCTGGTTTGCAGGAGTAAGGGATGAGCTGAGGTCTTTCGAGGAGAAATAGTGATGGAAACGATCAACTAGGTGAGCTGTTTGTCAATCTGTTGTTTGCTCTTAGAAAGATTATTAATATTAAAGACTTCTGAGGCCTTGAGGTGTTCTGTTTCATCATTTTGCTGTTTTGTTTATAATGGTATTTTCTTATGGACATGGAAATATCTAGTAGTTTAACATCTGTGTGGTTTGAAGTGATTTAATTTCACTGGATGATGTTTTCTGTCATTAATAACATCACCATCAGCATGCTGTTTTATTTAATTTTTGCTGTCAATAGATGTCTTACTATTCCTAGCTGTGTGGCTGAGGCTTTCTAAAGTTAATGCATTGCAACACTCTTACAATGTTTATGAGTCCACAGCATTGGAGTTGAAGGTTTTATGTGCCTGAATAACATGCTCTTGATTTGCTAAGGTTGGCTGCTCTGTGAAGTCCTGTGTGTGATCCTAGTTCCATGTTCCACGTACTTTTCCATCTCCTTTTCTTATATATCACTTCCTTACCTCCTCCCTTCTTTTAGATATTTTTGCTTTCATGTATATCACTGTACATTATACCCCTATACCTGTCATTGCTGCTTTTGCTAATTATTCAGGAGGGTGTGCTTATGGAGAAGTGCAGTTGCCGTCTTTCTATCTTGATGCACTGGTTTTGGTTGGGACAGAATTAATTTTCTTCATAACAGCTCCTATGGTGCTGTGGTTTGGACTTGTGACCAAAGCAATGCTGAGAACCCGTGTGTCCTGGGTTCAGCAGTAGCAGTCATTTTTCTCGTTCTTAGTAGCTGGTGCAGTGCTGTGATTTTGACTTTTCAGCCTGGGAACAACGCTGATAACACCAAGGTTTTTAGTTGTTGCTCAGTAATGTTTAATCTGACCAAGGACTTTCTCAGTCTCATGCTCTGCCAGAGAGGAGGGGAAGCTGGGAGGAAGCAGCTGGGAGGACAGCTGACCCAAACTAGCCAAAGAGGTATTCCATACCACAGCACGTCATGCCCAGTATAGCAACTGGGGGCAGTTACCTGGAAGGGCTAGATCACTGCTCGGGTCGGGCTGGGTATCGGTCGGCAGGTATTCTCTTCCCTTGTTATTTCCCTTATTATTACTGGTGGTAGCAGCAGTGGTTTGTGTTATACCTTAGTTACTGGGCTGTTCTTATCTCAGCCCGTGGGAGTTACATTCCTTTGATTCTCCTCCCCATCCCTCTGGGAGCAGGGGGAGGAAAGGGTGGGGAGTGAGAGAGCAGGCTGCATGGCTGAGTTGCCCACTGAGCTTAAACCACAACACCATGGTTTAGTTATTTTTGAACAGTGGCTGCACAGCATCAAGAACTTTTCTGTTCCTCACCCCACCCGACCAGCGAGTGGATTAGGGATGGACAAGAAGCTGGGAGGGGACATAGACAGGACAGCTGACCCCAACTGACCAAAGGGCTATCCCAGACCATATGTGCTTAGCAATAGCAGCTGAGGGAAGAAGGAGGAAGGGGGAGCAGTGTTTGGCTTTCCAAATCACTGTTGCATATGATGAAGCTCAGCTTTCCTGGGGATTGCAGAACACCTGCCTGACAATGAAAATTAGTAATTGAATTCCTCATTTTGCATTGTTTGCACACACGCCTCTGCTTCACTTATTAAACTGTCTTTATCTCAACCCACAAGTTTTGTCTTTTTTACCCTTCTGATTCTCTCCACAGTCTCACTGGAAGGGGAGAGAATGAGTGGTTGTATGGGGCTTAACTGCCTACTAAGGTTAACCCACAACAATTGCATGGAGAGCTGTCATCATTTTAAGTAGTGACTTGGCTCTTGAACACAGTATTTTGATTCCAGTAATAGTATTTTGAGTGCATCAAAAATTCTGAAGACTTTTTATGGTTAGAGATACCATATTGACTAAATTTCTGCTCATTGGTTTCAGCTCCCTAGTGTGACACAACCAGCATTACACTTCAGTTCTGTAATGAAGGTGAATTAGATCAGTCCTTAAGTAGAAATAAATACTCTCCAGCTGTCTATAACTATGTAATCCCATGGCTACAGTAAGACTGGTGATTATCTGTGTTACCTCTTTTTCTAGCTGCAGTCGGACAGCCTGGGAAAAGGGGTGAGTGTCCTGGGTTCAGCAGTAGCAGTCATGTTTTTCCTTTGTGTTAACTGGTGCAGTGCTGTGTTTTGACTTCTAGCTTGAGAACAGCGTTGGTGAAGCCGATGTTTTCGGTTGTTGCTAAGTGATGTTTACCCTGACCAAGGACTCTGTGAGGCTCATGCTCTGCCAGGGAGGACGGGAAGCTGTGAGGAAGCAGAGACGGGGCGCCTGACCCAGGCTAGCCGGGGAGGTATTCCATACCACAGCACGTCATGCCCGGGGTGAGGGGTAACTGGGGTTACCCGGAAGGACAGGGGCTTCCAGGTGGAACTCGCTTTCTTGGCCGGTGGTATCGTATTCTCTTCCCTTGTTATTTTCCCTTATCATTGTTTTAGCTGATAGTAGCGGCGGTGGTGATTTGTTGCTGGACTGTTCTTGCACTCTCTCGATCCTCCTCCCCGTTCCTCCGGGAGCGGGGAAGGGGAGAGCCCCGGTGCGGGGGGGGGGGGGGACGGCACCACTCACTGGGAGTGAGTGAACAAGTTACCTGACTGGGTTTAAACCACGACAGTTCTTTTTGGCGCCCAACGTGGGGCACGAAGGGTTGAGATAACGACAGATCTGACTGGATTGATAGTCACTCGTCACAATGCTGATTTATTGGCTCTCAAGGTTGTTCCTCTTGATCTCACAGTTTCAGTATATCATATCTTACGTCCATCCGGTATTTGCTGTATTAGTGTTTTTCAAGTGTGGGGCTTGGGCTAAGGTTTTTATCCCATTGTACTTTATGGTAATGACTTGTAATACAATAGAATCATTGATCATGAAACTGATCTGGCTTATGTTCCCAGTGTGGTCACCACCTTTATACTTTGGGAGGTATATGATGGAGGTGCTTAGCAATTACACATCTTTTTTCTCCTCCTCAGGTGCTCAACCTGTGAATGAGACATCCTTTTACCCTCCCAGTCGTCCCCCCAGACCATTTACATTTGAGAGTTTTGAATTTTTTGAATGGCCTTTTAATGCTGTTGAGATTTGTTTGCTGATGGTGATGGGAATCACCATGCTAACACACATACAGAGTGTGTTTTGCCCACTACTGATTTCAAGAGTTAAGCAGATTCAGGTTTGGGTCTTGTCTGGGGTCAAACGACGATGCAGGAGGACCGAGAGATTTTCCCTGAGGCTGGACAGCCATGAGTGGCAGGGTGTGTGGGATAGTATGGGCAAGTATCTAGGTCAGTGGGCCCCTCCAGTACTTTGGAATTTCACTACCAAACAACTGCAAAATCCAGAAGAATTAGTAAAACACTTAAATGAGGTGTGTGGTCATTCTGGCCATACCAGAGATGGACAAATCACGGCAACGTGCTGGGGCTTGGCCTATGCTTACAGGGCCTTGTTCAACACTATCCAGCACCTTCAAAAGGAAAAGAATGTCGGCGGATCTGAGGGCAAAGCGACAGTCGCTACTCAAACTTTGGCTGCAATGAACTGCGCAGCTACCCCAGTGGCAAGTACAGCAGCTGCTCAAACTTCAACTGCAACAGACAGCGCGGTTACCCCAGCTCCAAGCACAGCAGCTGCACCAACCCCAGCGACAAGCACAGTCGCTACTCAAACTTTGGCTGCAATGAACAGCACAGCTATCCCAGCGGCAAGTACAGCAGCTGCTCAAACTTCAACTGCAACAGACAGCGCGGTTACCCCAGCTCCAAGCACAGCAGCTGCACCAACCCCAGCGACAAGCACAGTCGCTACTCAAACTTTGGCTGCAATGAACTGCGCAGCTACCCCAGTGGCAAGTACAGCAGCTGCTCAAACTTCAACTGCAACAGACAGCGCGGTTACCCCAGCTCCAAGCACAGTAGCTACACCACCCCCAGCAACAAGTACAGTCGCTACTCAAACCACAGTGATAATCACTGCAGCCAAACCAGAGGACCAATTCGTACCAATATCAGTTGCCCCTGTACGGAAGAGAACAAGCAAAAAGGAGGCAAAAAGGGTGAAGCGAGATGAAGGACCAATGAATTCACCACCCGGTCCAGAATCTGATCAGGAGTCATCATCACATGATGAAGAAGAAGAAGAAGAGGTAACTTCTCGACCTCGGACCTCAACCGAGCTGCGGAATATGCAAAAAGATTTTACCCGTCAACCAGGGCAGCACATCATCACCTGGTTACTCCGATGCTGGGACAATGGGGCCGATGGTCACGAACTAGAAGGTACAGAAGCCAAGCAGCTGGGATCACTTGCTAGAGAAGGGGGAATTGACAAAGCAATCGCAAGAGAGAAAAAGTCCCTCAGCCTTTGGAGGAGGCTCTTGGCAGCTGTGAAAGAAAGGTTTCCATACAAGGACGATGTTACGAGTCATTCGGCCAAGTGGACTACTATAGACAAAGGCATCCAGTCTCTGAGGGAATCGGCCATCGTAGAGATGATCTATCACATCAAGCCGAATAACGGGGATACACCTATAGATCCAGATGAAGTTGAATGTACACGACCCATGTGGCGAAAACTTACACGGAATGCACCGTCATCATATGCCCATTCATTGGCAACAGTGACCTGGAATGACATAGTACCACTAACAGTGGATGAAATGGTTCATAAACTCCGAGAGTTCGAAGACAACCTCACCCCTTCCATCATCTCAGCTGTGGAAAAACTGTCCCAGGACCTCAAACAATTGAGGGACGATCTATCTGATTTATCCAGCTCCTCACGTGTACCAACACACGTCTCAGCTATTAACAAAAGGCGTCCTATTGTTCAAGAGAGGAGATACAGGAGGTATACACCACGGGGTACCCTATGGTTTTACCTGCTGGATCACGGAGAAGACATGACAAAGTGCGATGGAAAACCTTCTTCAGCTTTGGAGGAACGGGTGAGTGAACTGAAGAGGGGAGCAAGGGCCAAGAC